TTTAATATAAGTTTAACATGACAGCAAATGTACAACGTTTCGACAAGGTTTTGTCATCATCATTAGAGTTAATTCTATCAAGTTGATATGCACTAAATAATAATAAAATAATGCTTGAGTTTATAATATATTTTATTCATTCTCAAAACACGTATTCATTGAGCATTTTCACACCAATTTAAGTTAGTTTACTTACTTGTATCTTAAAATCTACACTACAAATTCTGTAAAAATAAAACGATTTATCAAATTTGCCACAATAATTTTTATACATAGTTAGAATGCCATATATATTATTAAGTTTAAATTCAAGCTATACGTTAGTAATCTTACAGTAAAACAGACCATTCTAGATTAATCAAATACAAAATTAAAAACAAAAAGAATTTATGATAAAAATGGCACCATTTTTGTATTTTGAGTTTGTTCCTAAAAATTCAAACTTCGCTTACAATGTGATTTTACAAACAAGTTTCAAATATGGTTCCCCAATTATCGATAAAAATTCACAGTACAGCCAATCGTTTAAAATAAATAATGTCTTCTTTCTTAAATAAAATTTCCAGATCATAAATATATCTTCTCAGCCATATGCCAATAAAAATATAGCACTTTGAAAAGTATGGTAATAAAATATCCGAACAGCTTAAAATATTTGTATGTTAAAACTCTGACTTCTCAATAACAAACATGACAATATTCACAAAAGAATTTGACGACCTTCGAGACCTAATAGCTTCCAACCTGAAGCACGAGATCTTCTCTGTGAATGTCTGCATGCGCACGTCAATGCTCGGGTATCAGTGAATGATAACGTGTGAAGACTTCATCAATATCCATGTAACATCCTTGGAGATGTCTAGAACATCACATACAGAGTTTGTTATATCCAGTAAATATTTGAAATCTTGGGTTTAAAAGAATGAATGAGTTTTCACTTTCAATAAACTAATGTGGAAAAACCACTCTAGGTATTAGTTACTAGCGTAAAACTATATATGAAACTGAACAGTTTAATTATTCAACTCAAACAAAAAATAATTCTGTATTATCTATTATTTTCAAATATTAAACTCGCACATATTTTCATTACATGCACTTACAAATTCATTTGTCCAAAGTTACAACTGTATAGATCAAATTTTTTAATGAAAAGTGATAACGTTAGACATGTAGATTATACAGAGAGATAATACTTAACATTTATAAATTATTAACCTTCAAGTAACTGAAGAACATTGGAAATTTCACACCAGTCTTTATTATGAACTTCGTCTAAGACACAGATAGTGGGATGAAGTAAAAGGTTAACTTTACAGTTTCCAATCACACCGAAAAAATAATATAACTCTTTTAGCTTTAGCTTGAGGTTAAGGACATCATTAAATTATCCTTATTTAAAGTTTAGTTAATAAAATTACTTTAGAATCCATTAAACTATAATAATTTATTTTGGCTGATTGAGTTTGACTGACACTGTAAACAGCAGAATGTATTTTCAACATTAAATTCACACATTTTATTTAACGAACTTGAAGAAGACACAGGTCAAGTAATCGGCAAAGCACGGAAGGTGGTACTACAGCAAGTGTGCTACTTTTCAACGTGGCATGATCTCATCGATGCCAGTTGAAAGCTTTTTCTCAAACATTTCTATAGATATTTCCAATAGTTGTTGATTTAATTTTTAGCTGCGACATAGCAGCTCATATAATGGCTCTAAGTTGTTTTTTCTAATACATACTTTTAGCTCATAGCTCCATTTCTTGACCAATTTGAGATCTAATTACAGCCAATGCTATTGAGGATTCCCTCTTGTTTCTATTTGTAAAATGAAGTTAATGAACAATATGTTGACTCATATTTGTGAAGCTTTAACAGATTTTACTTTAAAATTGGACATTTTTCATCAATATTACTAATGAAGTTAATACAGTTTACTTGTGCTCATATTTCAAGTTTAAGCAAAAAATGCAATTATTACACGAATGCCACTCCTTTACTGTGTGAAAATAAACTTCACAAGAGTACAGTTTTTTGATTTATTGTTTACACAGTGATTGGTTATCATTCAACCAATCAGAAAATGCCATACTAATATAAAGCCAATAAAAGTTCAGACAGTCATAATCAAGTTATGAAACGCTTTGTGCTACCTGTAAATGTTATAAAGTTTAACAGCTTTACAAGCACAAATTATGCAAGGAAAACAACACAAATTTACATAAATATAAAGTTAATTACTCGACTATCACGTGCATATTTTTTTTTTTATTATATATATAGATGTTTTAATCACAAGACATTTTGATGACACAATACAAAAAGAAGATTATTGAAAACCAAACAGCATTAGTCTATTCCCCCACAAAAGATCAAACAATCTTTACACCCAGGAAATTGGCGTTTACAAAATATCAATTTGGCATATGCTCGATACAAAATGGAATCAAACAAGAAATCAACTACTTAAAAAAAATGTTGCTGGATCAGAAGGATTTGATACCAATATAATTAATATTTTTTTTCTACACAATCCAAGGTGTTTTATAAACAAAGCCAGAGAAATAATATGGAAAAAACAAATTCAAACCCATCTATATGTTTACATTATTATCTGGAAATCTCAAATAAAACAGGTACATTATTGAACAACAACCAAATCAAACCAATTTTCATGCTAAATGGAAAACTCTCAAGAAACTAAGTAAAGGGAGACACGTACTCTTTACAAATGAACCCAAGTTTGAATTGTTCAGAAATGAAAGTTTGTTTGACAGCAAAGAAGAGAAAGATATCCTCGTTTACAGAGAAGCATGAAGGTGGTGGTGGGGGGAATCAGTACAAGTTTGGAGCTGCATCTCAGCCAATAGAAAGAAACATCACTCTTCAGACAAGGATTTATCTTCTAGCAAGACAAAGATATCAAGCATAGAAGAAATGTAGTGAAACTATATCTTGAGTGTAAAGAAGCTGCTGG